CATTCACTGCAGAGCATCCATTGGTGAGACACTGATGGAATGCTATATTTCTCCCAAAATCTGCCCAAAATGGACTTAGAATAGATCAAATAAAATGGATTTTTTAAATTATTTAGATTATTTATAAGATCTAGTAATGATTGCCCCTACGTGCTGTGCATTGTTTTTTTTATTTTTACATTCCCCTTGTTTCTTAGAAACTCCTCCATGTGCATCGGATCAGTTCCTGTGTGGAAATGGCCGCTGTATTGGTCAGCGTAAGGTTTGTAATAACATCAAGGACTGTGAAGACGGGACTGATGAGCATCCACACCAGGACTGTCGTGAGTCTACAAAATTAGTGCAAAAATATGTGAAATATAAGACGAATAGTCATAGTTCCACTGAAAGCATCTGATTCCCTCCTCTTTTCTTTGTTAACATTCAACTGTGTGCCCGTGTGTTTATAGGCTCCAAGTCAAGTGAAGAAAACTGTAATGTTAACAATGGAGGCTGCTCGCAGAAATGCCAGATGTCTCGAGGTCTGGTGCAGTGCACTTGTCACACCGGCTACACGTTAACTCAGGACGGGAAGACATGCAGAGGTGAGGCCATAGACAAGGGGGGAAAAAGAACAGTTTATAAAGAGAAGACGGCAGAAAAGAAAGTTAAGAACCAAGGGATTAAAATCAGGATTATCTGTATTAGTTATTTTCTTATGGGGAAATGGGGAAATATCTAAAATATATCTTTTATCTCTTTTATACGAATTCTGCAAGGGATTTATATACTTAAACAAACGTTTATGTATTCATTTTGATACATTTATCCAAGTGTCTTAAGAGTTTATGCCACTGTTCTTATACATTTAGTCTCTCTCAGACAAGCATTTATGATAAACTAATATAAAATATACTTGGAAAATATATCATTTATGTTGAAACTTTTATGTCATGTATTTAAATATTTTCATAATTGCACATTTGTAATGATGAAATTGCAGTTTTAGGAAATGTTTAAATATATTAACTTCAAATATAATATTGAATAAAACATTACATGACATAAAAATTATAACCAAGTAACTTTACATGTGCTTTATAATATGTTAGTCAACACATCAAAATGAGTGTACTTTAAAGTATGATAAAAGATAATTAAAACATTAAGATTTGAAATGTAATAACTGTAGAGTAAAAAATTTAATTATTTAATAATTTAACATTATTACGAAGTGCAGTTTTTAAAAGTGTACTTAAGTGTGTTAAGAAACAGTCATGAAAGT